TATATATATATATATATTAGAGGAGAAAGAAAAGAGTGCAGTGGGAATGGCAAATTAGTTGCAACTTGTTTTTCTGTACCTTGGATGGTTACTTACAAGCAAGAGCTTCTTGTTAACAGCAAACCATCTCTCATGTTTTTTTCCTCTCAAAGCTATGAAGAAGGGAATTTTGAAAAGGCTGCTGAACTGTACAAAAGGGCGATGGAAATAAAAGAAGCAGAAACATCACTTTTGGGTGGAAAAGCTCCTTCAAGGCAGTCATCAAGTGGAGACACATGTCTCTTTAAAACAACCCATTCTCCTAACGTTTTCCTTCCCCAAGGACAAAGCTAACTGTCAATTCTTTGCCAGAACACTTCAGGCTAAAACAACTAAACATCTGGAACATTCTAACTCAAATCTTAATGTTTTTATAGAAAATCATTTCTTCCAACATAGGCAGTGTTATTTAACTGGTATTGTATGAAGTTGTATTGGATTACATTGAACTGTTGGGTCAAGTTTAAATTGATTAAAGAACCTGTTTCCTATGGGATGAGATCCAGGATGAAGACACTCAGTGGCAGGAGGAGTGGCTTGGCCTCTGCAACAAGAGCTGGCAGGATCCCATGGTTTAAGAAATCCACGATCCTTTTTCTCCCTCGAGAGCAACCTTAGCTCTGCCGTTCATCGGTTGTTCCTAGCAGGGCTCTGAGCCAGTTCTCTACCTCAAAGAACTTTCTAGGGCTAAGGGGAAGTTTATGAAAAGTCTGAACAGTTTTCAGTGAACCGAACTAGATAGGAATTCTTGTTTTTCCTTTTTCTGGGCTTGTGTGTGAGGATGTGTACACACACATGAATGTACATGTGGAGGTCAGAGGTCAGCCTTGGGTTTCATCCCTCAGGTGCTGTCCACCTTGGCTGGTTTTTTTTAGACAGGGTCTCAGTGGCTTGGTGTTCATTTAACTAGGCTGACAGCATCCTAGTGACCTATCCTCCTGCCTCCACCTCCTGAGACAGGATTACAAGCTTCCATTTCTACTCCCAGCTCTCTAAAGTGGGTTCTGGGTCTTGAACTCTGGTCCTTATGTTTACGTGGCAGACTCGTCACCAACTGAGCTATCTCCCCAGCCTCTGTGTTGTGAATCTCTGTAGCTCAGGACGGCCATGAACTCTTGATCAGCCGTCCTCAGCCTCCTGAGCACTGGGACCATAGGCGCATACCCCCACAGCTGGGTTTGCTTTTGAGCCTTCCTTTTCCCTAAGCTGACTTAGCCAGCCTCTGCTTTCTGTGCTGTCTCCAGGAAGTTAATCATGGTGCTGTGCTGCAGTGTCTGATGGCATCCATGCAACCACCGGTGTCAGGTTCTTTACCATTCTCATCTTTCTTATTGTGGTACAGGTCTGAAAATCCAGCTACTCATGGATTGAGACAAGAGGCTCTCAAGGTCAGTACTAGCTTAGAGTGAGTTCAAGACCAGCCCGGGCACCCTAGTGAGACCTTGACACAAACACAAAAGTGGAGCTGAAGACACAGCAGTAGTAGCATCGGACCCTGTGTTTAGTCCTCAGCACACACACAAAAAGCCATGACAAATCCATTTCTTCTGTAAATGGTCAAAATCAATCTTGCTTTACCTCAATTAGTTGTTTTTATACTGGAAATTAACTATTTTTATAGACTTTATAAATATTGCCACATTTTAGATAATGTTATTTGTATATTTATAGAAAAATTTTCAACAATTTTAAATCTTTTAAGATCTCAATATGTATTATTGTAAGAATGACAGGCATTAAAAAATGTGTTTAATAATTCAAGGCAGGGTACTGTATAGACCATGACATGTTTCAAGGCACAGGCCAAGAAGATTTTGTACTTTTCTACCACCTGGCCCCTCTTACCCCCTCCCCTTGTAAAACATGCTATAAAAAAGCATTTCATGTTCAAAAAAAAAAAAAAGAAATTAAAAAAAATGTGTTTAAAATAAAAGTGCAATTCCAAGTTCCCTGTTTTGCACTCTGTACTAGAGGGCTATTTTGCATAATTATTTAAGAATAAACATTGAACATATTTCAGCAGACTTGAATATTGGCCAAGTTTACTCAATCATTTGTTCAACTTGAAGAACTCTAGTGACCTCAGGGTGTGCCCAGTGTCACCCAACTCGTGGGGGATTCAGAAACCAGTGTCATCACCAGCCAGAACTTACTTACAGTTGAGACTTTGAGGCCCTCCCTGAGCCCGCTCAGAAGCAGCCCAAGGGCTAGATGGCCAGGTCGCTCCTGCCAAAGCTTTGATTTTGGGAAGCATTGCTAAAGTCTACACAACACTACTGTGTTAAGTTAAATTAGACAGGACATGACAAAATAAGCTTTCTTCTTCCACCTTTTGGAGGAGGCTCAGAGGAAATGAAAAGCTAAAATATGACCATAACCTATCTTTGGGGTTTGCCCCCTCTGAAGGTACAAATAACAGAATTTATGAGCATATTAGACATTGATTTTTACAACTAATATATCAAAGCTTAAAATCTGTTTCATGACTAATTTAATACACTAAAAGTATAGTATTAAGTTAACCACCTTTAAAAAAAACTTTAATAATTTGTGACCAGTACCCTATCTTCAAATAAGCATATTTATTCTTTTTTCTTCTAAAATTTAGATTTGAGAATTATACAAAATATTTTTGAAACTGCAATGTTATTTAGCTTGACTTTATGGTACAAATTATAACTGAGGTGGTCACTAAATTATATATTTCTTTTTTCTCTATATATTCAAATTTAATATATAATAAAATCCTTGTTTTATCCATTTATTGCACTAACAGTGTGTCTTCTGCCTCATGGGAACGCTAAGAGCAACTGCCACAGACATTTGTATGTAGATGTGTGATTCTCAAACAGTATGATATGCTCACAGTAACAGATATTTGGTTCACAGATGTAACTTTCAGATTGTGTTCATGTTAACACCCCCCACACACACACACACATAGCAAAATGGTAATTTTCAGACAAGTCCCTCAATAATAAATAACTAGCAGGGAACCATATTTTGCTCTAACTTGTCTTCAGTACTTTACAGAAGGGGAATTATGAAAACCAAATTGTGATCTGGGGAGGTCAAAGCATCTCTGACATAAAGTCATTGCCTTTTCCTGTAAGTGTATATTTGTGGGTGTCCAGGGAGAATGAGAAAAAAAACTAAAGATCTAATCAGAGCCAGATTGCCTTTCTGCTAGCAATAAGAAACAAAAGTTATGCCTGGCTTTACTACCATCTGGACTCCAGACTCTTAAGAGTCACTGTGTTAAGTCAGTGTTGGGACTCCTTGCCTTTGTTAGGATCCATAGGGTTTACAAATCCAGCCAAACTTCTAGAACCTCTATGTGAGAATTCTGCCTGCTGGCCCTCAGTCTCTGTGGCTGCAGCCTATAAGGAGAACACTATAGGGAGAACACAGGTGCGTGCTGCTTGGTTTTGTTTGCTTGCTTCCTGAAGATAATCCAGTAGTTTCTAATTAAACTACTAGGTAAGAGAGCGACATTAGAATTTGATACAGAAAGCAGATCTTTAGAAGATGATAGATCCTATGTGTTACACCTTAACGACACCTGAAAGTTCAACACTTGACTAAACCTTAGAAAATTCATGGACCAGTAATTCTAAAGAATTATTCTAGAAGAAAAATGTACTTCATCTTAAAATTTACAACATGTCTAGTGACTTCAAGTTATTCTCCAATCCAATATGCTTAAGTTCTGTTAAAACATTTGTAAAAAATTTATCAAGGCCACATAAATGTTAAGTTTCAAAGCTAGAAACATTCAACTTCACCATAAATATAAAAATCACATGTAATACTAGAATCTCAAAGCAAGTGCACTGAACGTGTCTGGAGTTGGTCTTTACAACTTTACTTTACAAGTGAGAATGGCACTTTTAACTTTTGCTGACATTTCCCAATACATATAATTTAGACATTCATAATGATACATTTCGTGTCTTCAAGGTTAGACCACCAATAGTTCACATGAGGCATCAGTATACAATTGAAGTGGTCACAGTTGGGAAATGGAACCCTTGCAGGGAATAAATACCTGTACCTCTGCAGAGGCAGTTTTGAGTTCTTTGTTTTGCCCACCACTCAGACAAGCCTTGCTAGTATCTCAGTATTTATGGAACCAAGTATTGAGGCACACTCTGTGATGCATAGTATGGACAGTGTACTCATGCCTGTTCTTCAGTAACATGGTGACTCCAGACACTCCTGCTACAGAGAGCAATGCCTTTTCCTTCATCCATGAAAACTGAGGATAACCAATGTTTCCTGCACATAATTCTGTCTGCCATGAAAATAGCTTGCTTTCATCTATGCTTTGTCTTAAATATTCAACCCATGGGTTTATACACTACCAATGAAGACATTCTGCTTCTATTTCATCCAGAATCATTTGAGGGATGTTTTTATTCTATAGGCTGTTTAAAGTCACTCCTGGTCAGACTCTTAGCGGGTAACTGCCCAGCAGGAAGCCATTTACTCAGACACTTGTCAGCCACAGTCACCAGGCTACACAGCCCATCCTCCGTTTGTGCTATTTATCGTCCATGGCCACAGGCCAGACATGAACTTATGGAATGGGATGGTCTGCTCCTCTCCTTTCTGTAGTTGCAGTACTGATTAGGTTGTACAGGGAAGCACGAGGAAACCACTAGTGTTCCACACAGCATAACAACTCAGTGAAAGTACACATGCCATCGAAGGTGGCGCTAAGTTTTATTCCGATTGCTTAATTCCAAGCGAATAACATAAGCACAGAAACAGACAGAAGCCAGTCCACTGTCTACATGTTCTTCATCTTGGCCATGAGATCTTCCAAGCTTTCACCAGAATCTTCCACTGTTACTTCAGAAACAGAATCCTCTCTCTGTCAACAAAAGGGGGAAGTGCCATGAAATGGAACCACCTAAAACTGCCTGTCCTCAACAGTCTGCTTTACCCATGCTCAGCTTGCTGAGACACCAGATTTCCTCTGATAAATATACTTGAAAGTATTTAGAAGACATAAAGTTCTTTATATTACCCACCAAAATGTTGTTCAGGAGGCAGCAACTTCACTAGTCTTGACATGCCTACTGAGTGTATTTTTTAATATAAAATTACACTCGTTTATAGTAGACCATGAAGTTAAAGTACATTGTGTAATGTTCATGTCAGGATAAGCATATCTTCTTAAAACACTTCTTTGTAATTAGAACATTCAAAACTCACTTCTTCTAGCTTTCTGAACATAAAACAATGACCACCTCCAGCCACCCTTCTGTGACAGACCAGAGCTTAGTGTTCCTAGCTAGCTGTAACTTAAAAGCTGGCAGCCACCCTTTCCCTCCTCCCGCCCCGCTCATGCCTGGGAGCACTAGTACAGTCTCAACTTTTATAACATCAAACCTTTTAGAGTCCACATGAGTGAGATCACGTGGTGGTCGTCCATCTGTGCCCATCTTATTTCATTACTTCCAGTTCATCTATCCTGTCACAAATGACAGGTTGCCATCTTCTTATGCTCAGTAGTATTCCACTGTGTGTGTGTGTGTGTGTGTGTGTGTGTGTACATTTTGTCTCTATGTACTTTAGATATAGACCTTACACCCAGTGTGAGTACTGGATCATATATACAGTAATTCTTGTGTTTTGAGAAGCCTCCATTCTGTTTTCCATAATCCTGATAGCAATGCATTACTACAGTGCAGGCTCCCTTTCTGCACATTCTTGCCAGCACTTAACTTTTTCACTTGGAGTGAGATGGACCTCACTGGCTTTCATCTGATGCCCCTGATGACTAATGATGTTTAGCGACTTTCAATACCTACTGCCTATCTGTATGTCTTTTTATCTGCTGGACCAAGCCCTGTTCTGTAAGTCTTCACTTGACCAAGTCTCCATCTTTGTAGGTTTACTCATCTACATGTGCTAGTGCTCACTCACACTCTCTCTCCCTCAACCCTCACCCCCACCCCTCACCTCTCACCTATGACCTCCGCTTCCATGATATTACATATCCACGTTCATCTCAAACTTGCTAATCTGCTGCTTCAGCCTCCTGGGTGCTAGGATCACAAGTGCACACCATCACCCTCTCCTGAAGTAAATTTAAATGGGTGTGTGGCTAAAACTATCAATATGTAAAAGTAACATTTAAATTTAATTAAAATCTATTGTACTGATACATCAGTGAGTTTTTAAAAATCTTCACTTTCTCAGTTTCAAATTTGCTGACACTGAATATCTAGTTCTTAATACCTCACTGCCTACATGTAAATATCTAAAACAGGAAATGCCACACTAGCCTTCCAACGTAAGATAAAGCTGAAATAGGAGAAATACATATTTTCTCTTATCTGACATTTACATATGGGCAAATCAGATTTCACAAATACCTTCTTTGGAACTGTGTATGCCACTGTAATCCCATCAGGTAAGGTGGGAACGGGACCTGAAGAGTTCTTCAGCTCCTCTTCTGAAACCTCAGACACCAGCTCAATACCTGTAGGATTAAATGTGTCTCTGAGCTCATTCTCAAAATAACCACAAGAATTACTTATACTTTTGTGTAATCGTACATTCCCTCTTAGAAAACACTGTAATAAGTGCTTAAAATTTTGTGTGCTCTTCTATTTCCTCCCAGAAAAGAATGGGTTTCGATGTGAGTGCTCGCACAAAGGCCTCTTACCCCACTCGTTGTCCTCATGAACTACCTCTGCCTCCTCTTTTGGTGCAGCCTCCTGTGTGGGCAGCGCTGCTGCCTTCTTCTGTATAAAGCAAACAGTACCAACAAACACAGCGTTACTCCTTCTCAGTTCTCTGAAGCACTCAAGAATTCACACAGGCAACTGATCTTACCAAAAGCAAGAATGAATTTTTGTTTTCCCAGTATGCTAAATTAACTAAAACTCTAAAAATCCAGAATCCATTTATATTATATTCCAAATCTGTCTCTTTTGAAAGTCACTGGCCTAGGCAATGGGATCCTCAGATTTTCTGGCTGACTGTGTGTACCTTGTATTCTTCTTGTTGCTTCCTACAGTTTTTGTCATCACACTGAGGGTTTGGCTTCATCAACATGGTAGGGAAAAAATCCTGCATTGCATTGTATCCAAGATAAAAACTGACACTGCCAAATTTTAACAAAAACCTGGAAAAGAAAATCAAATTAGCCAAGAATGGTAGTGCACACCTTTAGTCCCAGCTTTTGGGAGACAGAGGCAGGTGGATCTCTGTGAGTTCTAGACCAGCCAGGGATATACAGTGAGACCCCATCTCAACACACAAAAGAAAAGAGAAAACCAAAATAAGCTTAAATAAAGAAAGTACTAGAAGTAAGTAAATTCTGGAATAGGTAGTGAATTTTGTAACAAACCCAGAAAACAGTGACTTGCTCTACCTTATTGAGAGACCTTGGCTCATAGTAGATGCTTGAATATCTGTTGAGTAAGTGAAGGAAAGGATAGCTCAAGCCCTTCCACCACTGTACACGAGCTTTTCTGAACCTGATAAAGAGGAACTGCTGGCATGTACAACATGCTACACCTCAAAGAAACACACTGATCTTAGAGGACGGCAAGGGGAAGAGGTGTTTTAAAGCCTGAGCTACTGGGCGGGGCTTGGGAGATGGCTCAGTGGATCAAGCCCTTGCTGTGCAAGCATGAGAACCTGAGTGTGGTCCTGCAGGACCCACATGAACAGACAGGCACAGTGTCATGAGCCTGTAACCTCAGATCTGAGGAGAAGGGAATGAAGACAGGAAGACCTCAGGGCCTTGCTGTACAGCAAGTGTAGCCAAAACAGTGAGTCCCTAAGCATCTGTCACTAAGAGACCCTGTCTCAAAGAGTAATGTGGATGGAACACAACTTAGATTCGAGGCATAGAGAAAGCAAGCTGAAAGGGAGCTAGAAGCCTCCCCTCACTGGCTAGCTTTTATAGTGCCAGAAGCTGCCACACAGGCTGCTGGGGAAGAAGGCATCAATGGGCTTATCCAGCAGTAAACCCTATAAACAATAATATCAGCCTGCCAAGCAAGATGTGTCCACAGGTAGAGTGATGGCACTAATGTTGGCAGAGGTGTGAGGTCTGAACCAACCACCTCTGACTGGATTTGAGGCCTGCTCCACAAAAGGGAATTCAAACCTGGTACTGTAAAGGTAATTGGAAACCCATGGCTAAAGTCTTAGGCCCAAGGGCAAATTACTACTGCTGTTTAGGTAATCTATCATGGCACCAGACTGTATTCTAACTACCTAAGCTTATACCCACAGACAGATGCTACCTAGCCCCAGTGAGAAGGCTCTCTGCAATGATCAGCATTGAATACTCAGACACATGGCTGCTGGAGGCGCTGAGGATAAGTGGTGGCTGAGTGCTCAGGCCTAGATAGGACACTTAGGCCGCTCCACACTGTAGGAGAGGAGGTGGAGAGAACTCGAGAGCCACAGACAGGCAGAAGGGCTCCAAGAACTGTCTACTTGGCATGGAACGGCCACTGCACTGACGACCTCACGGAGGCTGGGCCTCTCAGAAGTCAATCACGGATCAGGGAGGGGCTTTATCCTTTCCTGCTCAAGTTCTGTCTACTGATGGCTTCTGAGGGGAGGACAATCACTGTCTTCAGTTGTGTACCCATGAGTGCCCACCAGGCACCAATGGATCTTCCACACCCACGCATACAGATAGTCCAGCCTGAGTGTAGTGGGTCTGGAAACAATAACAACGTCATAATGTGGGAAGATTTGACAGGAGTAATAGTGTGGGAAGGAGAGTACAGGAAGTGGAGAAGAGGTTACAGTAATCAAAATGTACTTCATACATGCATCAAACTGTCAAAGGTAAAGAAACAGACAAGACACAGAACAATACCCTCTGGCCTTCACATATGGATGTACAGAAAAGCATACCTTAGACATAAGTGCACAAATACATACCCCTCCAGACAAAAATCTGAAGTGTGATACTACATTTAATTTAAAAAAAAAAACAATATAACCTACTTTAACTATATAATTAAAATTAAAGCTATACTGATATAAACAGTATCAGGTGAAGTCAAACATTTCCAACACATAAGTACACTGTGACCCTGGCCCTGTCAAATGGCAACTGAACCCAAGCTGGATTATCTGGGAAGTGACAATGCCTCATTTGCATTGGTCTGCAGGCCAATGGACAGGCAGTCCTAGGATAGACCCAGGACAGACCCAGAATAGACTCGGGACAGACCCAGGACAGACCCAGGACAGACCCAGGACAGATCCAGGATAGACCCAGGACAGACCCAGGATAGACCCAGGACAGACCCAAGACAGACCCAGAATAGACTCAGGACAGAC